TGAAATTTGAAAAAAAAAAAAAAACCTTTTTTTGGAGAGGGGATGGGGTGGGTTGGTGAGGGTGGGGAAGGTGCTTTGGAAAATATTTTTCCTTCTCTTGATAAGGAAAACATTTTCCTCCAATTGGAGGAAAATGAATTGATAAGGAAAATGTTTTCCAAAACATTTTAGCCAACCAAACATAGAAAAATTGAAAAATATTTTTTGGAAAATGTTTTTCGTTCATACCAAACACACCCTAAACTTAAACTTTATTTTCCACGCGTTTTTGCATTATTATTGTTTTGGGTCTTGTGAATTTCTAATGGGGGTCGGGAATTTTGGTATTCAATTTGACTTCTTTTTCTCTTACTTGGACATGTTGTGAACGAAAGAATATTTACTTCAAATACGGCACATATAATTATCAACCACAATTATTCTAGTGATATCAAATTCATAATGATATCTTGAATTTCTCTAAAATGAATATTTTTTTGTTTGTCGGAAAAATGATATTGTATCGCCGTTATAAAAATAATAGTAAAAAAATATATAAAATTTGTATTTTTTTTATATATATACATTATGTATGTTATATACAAAAATTATACAAGTTTTATATACTTTTTCGACTACCATATGTAAATAGTTTCTGGCGCGGCCTAAAAGTGATAATACTACTATTTGTCGGACTAACTTTAGAAAACTTAAAGGTACTGTTTAGGAGGAGGTAGAGTATAAATGCTAAAATTAAGATTGTAAACTCTTAATTGGGTGCATTTGATGTAATTATTTCATGAAAAATATTTGTCTTACAAAATTATTTGCTAGTTAAATCATTTTTTGAAGGATATTGTACTGGTTGAAACAAGTGATATAAAGTACTTATGAATTAAAATATATTTTAAAAAGTTACTTAGCACCTAATATTCAATCAAGTCATTTCTCCTATTTTACGTAATATTTTGGCAATACCAATAATACTTTTTAAAATTCAAGGCAATCAAACAACATGGGATAATTTCAACAAGGAAAATAGTTAGGGGTGTTCATGGTTCGGTTTGGATCGATTTTTCTTTAAAAAGGAAGCAAACCAAGTAAGTCGTTTTTTCAAATATTAGAACCAAACCAAACTAATTAAGTTAATTTTTCTCGATTCGGTTTATGTCGGATTTTCTGTTTTTTCGGTTATTTGTCGATTTTTTCTTAAATATAAGACATACATGACCAAACACATATTCCAGCGACTACATTTTCAACGTAACACTATCAAATCAATTGCCCTTTGAGAAATCTGTCGTTTATCAAGATATATATATATATATATNTCAAACTAAACCAAAAAATATCGATTTTTTTGATCGGTTTGATTTGGTTTTCGGTTTGGTTCTATTTTCGGGTTTTTTTGAACACCTACACGTACCCAGCACGTTCCTTTGGTCTGTTTTAGTTTTAGTACCTCAAGTTTTTTTTTTGGAATAAACAAATTTTATAATCACAATAATTTTTTGACCATGGTGTGAAAGTACCTGATAAAACTAATCCACACATTCCACAAATAAATATAATTATTACAGAATTAATATTTAATAATCTTACTTAAACAACCTGTTTACATTACATAATCCAAATCTAAACATCTAAAGATTTGGTTAATAAACACATTATTGAAAAAGTTCCATAGGTCTCTTCGGGATGACCTAATTGGTTTGGAGGACAGTCATCCATATAGATGATCATGACTTGAGATCGATTCCTGTTAATGTCTTTTGGGCCGAGCTTTTCGCATAGGGCTTGCCCAGTAAAATTTACATTTCTTGTGTGGTTTGTAATTTACACAGTGAAAAATTTATCCAGTACGCACAAAGTGTTCACCCAAATAACAGAGGTTGTGGCAGAAGTTATAGGAGAGTTTTGCTAAGATTCTTAAAAAAAAAGCCCCATAGACAACTCAATGTACAAGAGATCACAAATGCAAATCAGGATCATATGTTAGAATCAGACATATAGTTATCGGGAGAAACTTAATATTAGAGGACTTTATTTAGAACAACAATAATATATTCCAACAAGTGAGGTCTGAAAATTTATTTTAAAAAAGTTTTAAAATAAATCAGAATATCTAGATTTAATCCAAAAATGGTATACTAAATTTTTCAACATGTCTCCATTAGATGGAATAAATATTAAAGTACATTATCTAAATCTACAAAAATCTTTTATGGTATTACCCAAAAATGAAGCCACCTACCTCACATAATTACCACATTGCCACCTCCGGCTCAGCTATACCAAGTTGTTTCCTTTCTTATCTCTCTACCTTAGACCTAAATTTTTTTTTTATTGTCGTGTCCATCATCCTTTCTCTCTCTATAAACATTTTCTTCCTCAAAACACACACAACTTTCTCTCACTATATCTATATCTGTATCCACATAACTTCGATTCTAGCAAAAAACAAAAATTAAAACACTTCAATCATATACTATCACCCAAAAATTATCTCTTTTTCTTGTTGTTCTTTTCTTGGATCATGTAAAAAAAGACCCATTCGGATTTGGATCTTGTTTTAGGATTTGATTGGATCGGGTTATATCTGGGATTTGATTGGAATTCGGGTTTTTTCAGCTATGACCCGTCGGTGTTCACATTGCAGTACTAATGGACATAACTCAAGGACTTGTCCAAATAGAGGTGTGAAGTTATTTGGGGTCCGATTGACTGATGGGTTGATCCGAAAAAGTGCTAGTATGGGTAACTTGACCCATTTTGCTAGTAGCAGTGGTCCATTAAACGGTGCCGTTCATGACTCACCTGGTAATACACCTGATCACCCTGCTGTTGGTGGTTCTGCTGATGGTTATGCTTCTGAAGATTTTGTTGCTGGTTCTTCCTCTAGCCGTGAAAGGAAAAAAGGTTTGATTTTTTTTTTCATTTTTGAGAAATTTTATCTTTTTGGGTCTTAGGAATTGTGTTTTTTTTTTTTTTTTTGATAAGGTAAAGGTTTAGGAATTGTGTTTGCTTTTTTTGGTTCTTGGTTGTGTTAAATGTGTGCATATCTGAGATTTATGAATTATGATTAAAGTATCCAATTTAAATAATAAGGTGAGATATTTGGTATTTTTATCTAAACAAGCTGCAATTTTTCGTACTATTTGTTATTGTAAATGAATGTGCAGAAATAAGATACTATTAACATGTGTTTCAAGTTTATAGTTTTGATGTGTAAGAGAAAAACAAAAGATATTGGGAGCTTTCAGTTTGGCAAAGGTTAATGGTTTTCTCTATCCAATTTGCTGTCATAACTTTTTTTCAATCAAAATGGAATGTGTAAACAAGGATGTATGTTTTCCCGGATCACTTCATTGGCACGGAAATTTATTGCAAACCTTTGCCAGCTTTATGATTTTCTTAGTTCCTTTTTTGTGAATCAAGTTATTTGTGTATCATATTCCTCTTTACTCAGTGACCAGACACAGTGGTAAAATTTAATAAGGGATTTTACCTTATACGTAGTATAATTTTTCGGCGAAGTTGACCACCCTTGGGCCAACATAACTTCGCCCCTGACCAGACATAGCATAAGCATGACTGATCGAATTGTCAAACTAACGTCAACTTTTGTATGAGTTGCTTGAAACTCTAATTTACGGTCTGATCGAATTGTCACTTAATGCTAACGTCAACTTGTGTATGAGTTGCTTGAAACTCTAATTTACTGTCAGCTGCTGTTGTTTCAATGATATCTTGAAACTCTTCATCCTTTACAGATGCACTTCTCATTGTGGCAATAGTTGATTTTCAAATTAATGGAATTTCTTTCTTCTTTATGGTGATTATGTTTTTTCAGAAGTGCCGGAGTTGAGAAAATTGATATTGCTACTGAGGGATTTATATTGCAATAGGTTTTCTTGCTGGGTTGGTTCTTGAAATAACTTTAAACTTAATTGCACAGGGGTTCCCTGGACTGAGGAGGAGCATAGGATGTTTCTACTTGGTTTGCAAAAACTTGGTAAAGGTGATTGGCGTGGAATTGCTCGTAACTATGTAATTTCTAGAACGCCAACGCAGGTAGCAAGCCACGCCCAGAAATATTTCATTAGGCAAAGTAATATGTCAAGGAGAAAAAGACGCTCCAGCCTGTTTGATATTGTTGCTGATGAGGTAAGTGAAATCTCACTTATAGATGATTTTAATGCGCCCCTCATTAAGTTATATGAACCTTATTATCACCATGAAATTGTAAACTTGTTGTCTTTGATAAAAGATGTTGTCGTTCGTTCTACTCTTATTCTCGTTGATCTAGGACAGAATAATGATTCTCTATTATCATTGTTATCTTGCAAACTTCATCAACTAGATGTCTAGTGCTGTTCCATATTGCTATCATCTGTTATGTCAAAGATGCACATACCTATAGGCTATAACATCATACCTTTTGATTGAACTTGTAATGTTTTTTTGGCACTTGGACACTTTCTTACCTCATCTTGGATTTTGAATGTAATCTACAATCTTTTCTCCACGCTTGGCTTCAATGTATTTACTTTTAATGTTTGTTCTCTTTTCTTTTTCTTTTCTGTTAATTACCATAGTCGGGCGACACTCCAATGGTATCAAGGGATTTCCTTGCAGATGATCCTCCACAAGGCGAGATGCAAAGCAACAATCCATTGCCTCCTACTCCTTCTGTGGATGAAGAATGTGAATCAATGGGTTCAGTAGCTTCTGCCAACTCCAACGATGGGGAACTTTCAGTTCCTAAACAAGAAAGTTCACAATATCCTCATCCACTAGTATATCCTGCTTATGTCGCCCCATTTTTCCCGATGCCTTATCCATGTTGGCCAGGTTATACTGCAGAGCCGGCAAAAGCAGAGACCCATGAAGTTCTTAAGCCAACAGCTGTTCATTCAAAGAGTCCAATTAATGTTGATGAGCTGGTTGGTATGTCAAAGCTAAGTTTAGGAGAATCCATTGGTGATGCCAAACCATCTTCTCTCTCACTAAAACTGGTTGAGGGCTCCTCCAGGCAGTCAGCTTTCCATGCTAATCCTTCATCTGGTAGCTCAGGCATGAACTCTAGCCACAGTCCAATCCATGCAGTTTAGTGGGGTGCATTCACATGATATGTTTCCTGTTAATATATGATAATGTTATGTAGTTTTGTTGGGTTGGGTTAGTTATAGTTCTATTTGTTGGGTCGATCTTAATAAGATTTGTTTAGGGGTTAACGTCTTAGTTGGCAGTACTCTCGTAGCTTGTAGGCACTCTTGTTTTGAAGTATTCAAGTTATTAACATTTTGACTTTGGTCAAAAGATTTAGTTCTCCTGCTTTGTTTTCTTTTAATTTTTTGTTAGATTGTCGCGACTGTGACTAATTGATGTAGTAAAGTCCTTTTTTTTTTTTGTTAATTGGAGGTGCTACTATGCTAAAGAATGCTTAGCTCTTCAGGTCAGGTATAAAGAAACAGGGATTCTTGTTCTACGCCTGTTATCGTAAACCTGGCAGTGCATATAAAAGTTTTGTGGAGATGTGAAAATGTAGTTCGGTGGATGACTTATATAAGTTATGCGCAAGTATATTTTGCTAAATGATAGTATCAACTTGTCAAGAGTATGACTATTACATAATGAAGATAGTTTAAAAGAATGGCAGGACTGAAAGAGGAGGTTCTTCTCTGAGCTTTTATATCTTTATAAGGTGCTTTGGAATCTTGTTGGATCTGAATGTTGGAGTCGTGCCTTAATATGTTCCGCTATAGACGAAGTTCTGTTCTGGGTTGTTGATAAGTTCGTGTGGAGAAAGCAAAGGACGAGTTAAAGATTTGGTTTTTCTGTCTTTTCCTTGTAGGTCTGATTCCTGAAGGAACTGAGCAACGATAAACTGATGCAGCCCCAATACCTCATTATGCATGCAATTTGAGCCATGCACCAGCTACTGTGTGCAGATTGAGTGATAGATATGCTACCTGTCATTGAGCTAAGCATCGGCATACCGCTCTGCAGAAAGTTGGACTGGTTGGAGATGTTATGTTGATACAAAGACAAGTACCAATTTATATGAGAAGTCTTGGAATAGTGAGGGACATGTTTGTTGGGTACATTTTAAGTGGAGATTTAGTTTTCTTTTGCTACTTTGAGTTTGCAGAAATCCCACTAGTGTTTAGGAACATGAATTCTAGGAGGGAAAACCTTGCAGTAATTTGGGTGAACTGGAGGTCTGCATTGAAGATGCTTACAAATTGGTAATAGAAAAGCCATCTCCTCGCAATATCTGCCATTGAAGTGAAATCATCTAAACTAAGAAGAAACAGAAAAGAAGATGAACGGGCCAGTAGAAGGTGAATGACTGAATGTAGCAAATAGTGTGGACAATACACAGAAACACACATGTAGGTAAATGTGTGTGTTGAAGGTTTCCCGGTGGAGGGCAAATGACTCAACCACTGAGCGTTAGAAATGAGTGTGCACTTAGGAAAGACTTGTTGAAGCGTAGAACTGTACTCGGTGGGCAGAATTATCCTATTTATGTGCTGGTGAAGGTAGTAGGTACGTAATAAAATAGTCGAGAGTAGCAGGTACCTAATGAAATAGTCGAGAGGAGTCCCCTTTAAGAAGAATATCAAAAGCTATTTCATGTTCTACTTTTTCCTCGGGGATCTATTTACCTTAGTGTGACTCGAATCATGATCCATAGATTGAAGATGGAGGATTAACACTATGTTATCATCATTTATTTTCTTAAATTGTTACCTATATTGTTTGCTTTTTGAGAAGTCACATATAGTCTTGATCAGTTCCAGTAAAATGTGAACTTATATATAATTGATTCCCACCCCCTTGTTCTATCGTCTACATCTAATGCTTCCTCATCTATTGAGGTACTATGCAAATATTTGCGGACCTAGGATTTGAAGATGAACTACTCAATTAGTGCCTCATCTGACTTTTCAGCTTAAGGGTTTTAAGTAAATTATATTACATTTTTCAATAAATATATACCTATATATTTCGAATTTTTGCCGAAGTTAACGGGGTCTGATGACCCTTCTGCTCCAAAAATAGATCTGCCTGTGTTCAAGATAAGAATCCATATTAAAGTACCATCTCGGAATTTTTTTATTTTTCTCTTTTGTATTACATGAATTATGATTCAATTTCATTCAACAATTCAGTTTGATTTTCATGACCATAATGTGATGGGATTTTTACCTTCCTATACCACATATGAAACCTTATTACCCTCAATGTTTAAGGTTTGAGTTAATTACATTTCAGTATACCAAATTACCATTTATATACCATAATTCAAATTAGGGATATAATTAAGGGTGCATTTATATTAGGCATAATTATAGGACTGTATCTTCTCTTTCCTTGTTTTTCCGCAATATATCATTGGCAGTGCCTTCAATCATCGTATTCTCAGTAATGCCATTTTTTACAAACTGAATTCGATAACTCCAGCACTTTCTACAATTAAGTTTGGTTTACAGACTTAGATTAAGTTTATTTGCAAAAATTATAAGCTACTCATTGTGTGTTTTTGGACCTTAATTAATCTTTACAAGCACTCTGTTATATTGAGGGAAAATGAGTACCCCCCTCCCCCACGTTTCTATTTTGAATTCCACCGTTGACCCCAATTAAAAAGCTTTGAAGCTTTGAATTCAAATTTGAGTTTTCAAAAATCATTATTTGTTTTGATTGGGTGTTGTTGTAAATAATTCAGAATATGTTTAGGAGTTTATATCTCAATTTTGAGGGGTTTTGGTGAAGATTTAGACTTGGTTTTGGCTGAATTTTAGATTGAAACTCGAAGAAGAAGAAGAAGAGGAAGAAGAAGAAGAAGAAGAAGAAGAAGAAGAAGAAGAAGAAGAAGAAGAAGAAGAAGACATATTTCCAGAATTTGCAGTAAATTGTAGTCAAATTAGAAAAATTGGAGATAAATTGTAGATTGTTTTTTGCAGAAGATTTTGTAGAAGCTTTAGTCGTTTTAGATTTGTGAAAACAGAAAACAATGCATCTACAATCAGAATACAAATAATCTACAATTTATCTACAAGATATCTACAAAGTGGATACATTGAATTTTAATATCCCAATTCCCATTTTAATTGTAGAATAATTGGCATTTTCGACATAATTGTAGAAGATTTGTAGAAGTTTTAGTCTTCCCAATCTACAATTTATCTACAATTCTACAATTTCTGGAAATATGTCTTCTCTTCTTCTTCTTCTTCTTCTTCTTCTTCTTCTTCTTCTTCTTCTTCGAGTTTCAATCTGAAATTCAGTCAAAACCAAGTCTAATCTTTCACCAAAACCCCTCAAAATTGAGATATAAACTCCAAACCATATTCCCAATTATCTTCAACAACACCCAATCCAAACAAATAATGATTTTTGAAAACCCAAATTTGAATTCAAAGCTTTCAAGCTTTTTAATGGCTATCAATGGTGGAAAATATATGGAAGAACAGATGAAGATGAAAAACAGAAATCTCCTTTCCGTTTCAAAATTACGCAGCTTTCAGATCTCCTTTATGTTTCATATTTTGAATTTAATGTGGAATAAATCAATCCCAGATTCTGTGGCTGATTTTTCGCGCGCTATAAATGGCAAATTCTGCCTAATTAACGATTGATATATAAATTGTAGTTAAAGTGTGGACTGGGCGGGTAATATACAAACTATGCACATTTTTGGTAATAAAGTTTCATATATGGTATAGTTAGGAAAAAATCCCTAATGTGATTTAGGCCGGCTAAGTCTCAATAATGGGCTAGAAATATGCTAGCCCAATACCCAACTAGTGGACTGTGTTTGGGCTGATCAAGCTGGTTTTAACGTTAAAATAATACGGGCTAGTCAGTTTTGGACTGGTAATTGAAAAATAGTCAGCATACTCCAGCATATTACATTGTACTGGAATCTCATATGTAAAAAATTTGAACTCCAGTATATTATGCCGGAATTTTTTCGGGTTTTTAAAGGTGTTTTTATTTAGATTTTATTTTTACATGAAAAAAGTGGCTAAATTTCGATTACTTTTGAAACAGTAGCTGATTTTCAATTAGCATTTGTGAATGGGATTTTTTTCGTTTCTATACAATATTTGAAACTTATTTACCAAAATTGTTCTAATTTTATATATTACCCGCCCTAAACAAGGATTACTTGCAAATTATATACATTCCACCTTAAAAGGCTCTCAAACCATTATTAGTGCCTTCAACCAAGAGATTTAATTATACATTTTTCCTTTTTTCTATCTTCTCTCTAGAATATTTGGACCAAAGATACTCCCAACAGTCAAACATTTTCCACAAAACAAATCAAGTAACTAAATTTTCCACGAAGAATATCGTATTCAGCTAAAACACATGTTCCATTTCTTAAACTACGTACTACGAAGCTGATAGTCATGTTCTACAATGCACTGCAGTTGAACGCCAATTGCTAAATAATCTTATTCCACACTTACTAGGAGCATCAGTTAGTTTCATAGATAGTTTTCAAGAATTCCTTTCCAAAGTAGACTCAAAAAACAAAACCAAAAAAGAAAAAATGTTATTGTATTCTATTTGACTTCATATGTTAAACCAATCATAAACCTGCTTGAAGGTGATCAAAGAAGTCTCAGCTATTAGAAGTTGGTAATCTCTTTTATTTATTATTCCACTTTGCCTCTCTACTCCGCTTAAAATTGGCGGTCTCACTGTACTTCAACCTATAAAGGTATACAATATTTGCCAATTTATTTTGTAGTTGAATAATGTGCTGTCGTTTTTGGTGACGGAAATATTAGAACCTCGAAAATATATATTGGTCGTAAACAAGCCATAGATTTTAGTGGCTAGAAAGCTAGCATTCTTTTTAAAACTGATTAATAATGAAATAATACCATATAAAAAGAATCAAAGCAAGTACTATGAAATCTATGATCCAAATATTGTTCTTACTCAATCAGCATTTGTATATAATAAAAATTCTTATATAATACATATGACAGTGTCGGAATTATGTTTCCCAAGGAATCAACAATTATTCATCAGCACAATCTAAAAGAGAACTTCTACTGAATCTAAATTTTATTGCATATTTATATTTAAACTAAACACATAAAATCTCTATCTCTAAGAACAATATATGGTACATCAACATACAAATTAAAAATAAATTTCGTACAAATTTAATGCAAATTTTAATATCTACAAGAACATACATAATAAAAATAAATTTCATACAACTAATTATATATTATACAACTTATTTATAACTTATCTACATCTTTCATACATTATTTCTAGACAGTTAAATACAAATACAATATCATGCAACTTAAATACAAATTTTATACAATATATTTTTTGTACATATTCTATATCTAATTTGTATATTATCTTGGTGTGTGCTTCTTCCTCTCTAATATTCCAATCAAAACTTACTCTCTTAATACAATTTTGATACATATCAATAACTTTATATAAAAAGATAATATTTATAACTTAAATACAAATTTTATACAATGATTCATACATTATACAATTATTTTTCAACTTTCATACAACATTCAAATAAAAAAATATATATAACCACAACAGAATAACTTTACTTCAATTTCGTAAGTACATTGTATGTCATGTGTAATTACTACAATTTCTTTGTCGAGTTTCAATTTGAAATTCAGCCAAAATCAAATCTAATCTTCACCAAAACATCCTTAAAATTGAGATATAAACTCCAAACAATATTTTAATTATTTGCAACAACACCTAATCCAAACAAATAATGGTTTTTGAAAATCGAAATTCTATTTCAAAGCTTCAAAACTTTTTAATGGTTGTCAATGGTGGAGAATCAAACACCTTCAAAATTCATTGATTGACAACTTCAATTTGAACACCAATTGTGCAACATGAAAGGAAATTGCTAACTTAAGACGATTGAAATCCATTGAGGAATTCCATTAAAACTCTATATAACAAGAAAGCATAAAAAAATAGAGAACATCAAATGAAGAAAAATTAGGGGAAAAAGAGTAGAGAGACAAAGAGAGAGAGAGAGAGAGAGAGAGAGAGAGAGAGAGACAAGTATAAAGGGATAAGGAAATAACTAATATTCCTTGTTCAATTCCTAATATAAAAGGGATACTCATTTGAAACTTATTTGTATATAATTGGTAAATTGTATATGACCATGTAAATAAATTGAAACTTGAGTAGGAAGGGTAATAAGGTTTCAAATAGTGTATAGAAAGGTAAAAATCTAGGGGGTGTTCAAAACCGAAAACCGAACCGCAAAAGTGACTTAATGGCTTATTGGTATCAGGTTATCGGTTTAATGGATGGGGAACGGATTGAAATTTTATTAACAACGGCTTATCGGTTTGGGAGCGGATTATTCAATTTTCATATCGCATAAATCGTTAACCAGTTAAAAATATATATATATATATA